TGTTGAAAAGACTATACTTTCCACATTGAATTGTCTTGGCTTCTTTGTCAAAAATAGGTTGCCTAGTGTATTAGTTTCCTGTTGCTCCCATAACAAATTTCTTCATACTTACGGCTTAAAACAACACAAACTTACTATTTTACAGTTCTGTAGATTACAAGTTCAACCTGGGTCTCACTGGGCTAAAATCAAGATGTCAGCAGGGCTGCATTCCTTTCTGGAGACTCTAAGGGAGAATCTATTTCCTTGCCTCTTCTATCTTCTAGAGGTTACTCACATTCCTTGGTTTGTGGTCCTCCTCGTACATCTTGAAAGCCAGCATCCTTGTATCTCTATGACCATTCCACTATAGTCAGATCTCCCTCTGATTCAAAACTTCTGTGCCTCCCTCTTCAGTTTTTAAGGATCTTTGTATTATATTGAGCCCAGCCAGATAATCTCTATTTTAAAGTCAGCTGATTAGCAACCTTAATTTATCCTTCCCATGCATCCTAACATATTCACAGGTTCCGAGGAATAGAATGTGCACATTTTGGGTATGGGGGAAAGAGAAAGTTAATTCTGTCTACCAAAACCATAAATATAAGGGGTTATTTCTGGGCTTTCAATGTGATTCCACTGATCTTTATACCTATCCTATGCCAGTACCTCACTGTCTTAATTATTGTAGCTTTGTAGTTTTAAGTTTTGAAATTGGGAAGTGCGAGTCCTCCAACTTTGCTCTTCTCTTTCAAGATTGTTTTGGCTATTCTGGGTCCCTTGCATTTCTATATTAATTTTAGGACCAGCATGTCAATTTCTGCAAAACAAACAAACAAACAAACCCCACTCGGATTTTGGTAGGGATTACGTTGAATCTGCATATCTTTTTGGGAGTCTTCGTATCAGAACAGTAAGTCTTCTAATCTGTGAATATGGGATGTCTTTCCATTTCTCTGAAAGGGAGCCGGTAGCATTTTTATTATGGATTATTTTAAACAAATACAAAAGTAAAGTTCATAATAAAATGAACCTCCATGTGCCTGTCACCCAGCTTCAACAATGACCAATCATGGACAATTTTTCTCTACATCTCCACCTACTTTTCTTGTGGATCATTTCCAAACAAATCCCAGCCATCACACCATTTCACCCATGAATATTTCACGATGTATCTCTCAAAATTACTTCCTTTATTTTAAACCATAACCACAATTCTTCCACACTAAAATAAATATAAACTTCTAGTCAATGTTCAAATATCCTTTATTGTCTTATAAATGTTTTACCAATTTGTTTGAATCAAGAGCCAGATATGCCCCATACATTGTGAATCCTTCATAGATGGCTTAAATTTCCTTTAATTGTTAAGTGCCAACTCAATCTTTTTCCTTGGAGCTACTCTGTGGAAGAACTGGCTCGTTTGTCCTTGCACAGTTTCCCACAGTCTACATCACCATGTCCTCATTTCTCCTCTTCCTTATAATTCCTATAATTTGGTAGTTATCTCTCGTAAGTAGATTCTGAAGACTATTTTGCTTTT